GATAATTCATATGTATCTAGGAATCTGTCCATTTCTTCTGTGTTGTCCATCTTATTGGCGTATAGGTTCTGGAAGTAGGTATTGATGATCCTCTGTATTTCTGCTGGGTCTGTTGTCATTTCACCCTTTTCATTCCTAATTAGGCAATTATTTTTGGAGGCAGATAATAGCATGAAAAACTACTGGTTTTTGTTTCTTCTTATTAGCAAATAAACACTGTGAACATCAAAGTAATGAGAGTACAACATAAAGGCTGTGGACAGATTGAGTCTAATGTACAATTCTACCTTCCCCATGCTAATTGCTCATCTCAGTTAAGGTGGCATCTTACTCAGGAATACTTTAAAGATTCTCTCAAGACAAGTTGAAGAAGTACATTCATGCAATAAATTTGACTGGGAATCTTCAGTAGGAGGTGGAGGCTATTCCAAGGACCCCTGCATGTCAGTGTTTTGTAATGACATTAGGAGATAAAAATGTAAGTGACGAGGCACAGTGAGCTGCAAACAGAATTATGTCTCTGTCCTTCATCCTTGATCACTTATGGGTGATCACAGTGCATGCCGGGCGCTTGCAAAGATGGATGCAGGGCCACTAGTCCTTTCCACTCCATGCACACATGAAGATTGCACTTTGATTTGTGGCTGTAGCCATAATTTGCAAAGCCTGTCACCATTTGCCACTTATAGTTAGCCCAAAGCTTTGTTGAGAAAGAGCTGTCCATTCCCGACCACTATACACCAGATTGATGTGTCAACTAAATTAATAACACTGGACTACTCATTATGCCAGGAAACATTTGCCCAATCTATAGCTGTCTCTTGATTTCTGTTTGCCTTCAGTATCTTCCTCTTGGTGCCAGGTAAAATGGCCATGGAAAGCACACTTATTTAATGGAGGATTGGCAAGATAAGCTGCATGTGGATGGAGGCAGAGGAGTCAAAACCAGGATGAAGTTGTGCAGGACAATAGAATCAGAAGGAAGGATCTGAGAGTGGTCGGGGTATGATAGAGCTATGTTAATTTTCTCTTTTGTTACTTTCACCATGCATTGACTTTGCATAATAGCTGGTGATGTGTTTACAAGTTCATTTGTAAATTTGAGAGAGTATTTAAATTTAATCCCATTATCATGTGAGTATCTGCTAGGTACCCTCGTTGGTTTTGCTGAAAGCTAATTCTTGCTGTGTGTTTGAGCCACTGATAGTTTCACTGTATATGGAACTGTATATGGAGTCAAGAACCTTCTTATGATAATACCTGCTTATCTGTCACAGAATAGGTAGACTAACTTTATTTGCAGCTGGGAGCCCTTTCATCCCAAGCCCTGTATACCCTAAGGTATATTTGAAAGCTTTTGTGCTTTGCTATAACCACTGGGCTTGTAGAAACTCGTGGGATAATATTTCCCATTGGAGAATAACCCAAATTCCCTTAGCTAGAAGTAATAACAAGAAAAATTAAACAGATATTTCTTTAAAGCAATAGCTATTTGAAGTGAATTATTCTGTCACTGGACTTCTTTTACTGTTTCTGTAGTTTTGTGTGAGCTGCTGGTAAATCTTGGAATAATTAATCTTTTTGTTGTCTCATGTTCCCACTCATTTTAATCCTTTTGGGCTGCTAGAAGAAAACACTATAAACTAGGTACCTCACAAACAATATAAATTTGGTTTTCACAGTTGTAGAGGCTGGGAAGTCCAAGACCAACGTGTCAGAAGATTTGCCGGTTGGCAATGGATTATTCTGGTTCATAGGTGGCCCTTTCTGGTCCCACATAAGATAGGAGGGTCAAGGCAACACTTTGACCCTTTTTTTAAAAGATGGGCACTAATCCCATTCATGAGGGTTCCACCCTTGTAACCTAATCACCTCCCATAAGAACCTACTGCCTAATAACATCACCTTAGGGAGTTAGAATTTCAACATATGATTTTAGTGGAAACCCAGATATTTAGATCATAACATGACCATAGTATAAAGACAGGTCTGAACAACAGTTCTTATGTTATAGGAGAAGTCCACAAAGAGGGGTTTATCCTGATCAGGGCCTGCAATGAGCACACATGATATAATTACTCTATCTATAAATTAATTTCTTCCCCCTTACCTGTTTATTCTTGGGGCCCCAACCTCCCTACTTTTCTGAATTCCATGGTTCTTAGAACAACTGTGTGTTCTAGCCAGTGGGGGGGGGCAGGATCAGTGCCACTTCACCCTTAGTAGAAAGAATCACCGCAAATAAGTGTGCATCTACTCCTTCCTTTTGAGTAGCCTGTGGGAAATGTGACAAGTTCAAGCCATAGGGACAAACAGCTCTGGCATAGCCAATGAACTGCAGCTCACCTCTCTGAATCAGGAGCTTTCACACCAGCTGGATGTTTCCCACCTGGTATTTTTTTCAGTAGTGGCTGCCCAAGAAATACTCAGCAATTTCTCAGCTATACAACAATATGTTCCTGAACCAAGAAATCACTATATAATTTTGTCTAAATGCCCAGTTTCCTTGTCTCATGTCACTGTATTTTGAAGCTTTAGCTGGGGGATAAAAAGGAACTGCCCCTTGGAGAGAGACACAATTTTATTAGCCTGGATTGTTATAAAATGGAAATGAATCATTGGTTAAGAGAGGTGGGCACAGATCAAGAAAAGAGATGCCATTACCCAGGAGGAAATCAGGGGGAAATGGACTGAGAGAAAGACAAGGCTGAGAGGGTGTTCATTTTGCAGTTTCAGATTCTTGTAGCTATAAGGTGGAAATAAAATATGGAGCTTGACATTTCAGAATGGCAGGTGGAATGCAGCTTAAAATGGGGGAAACTTGAAATGGCTTCTCCCTTGAAAGGAAGGAAAAAACAGAAGAGGCTCAAAATCACTAGAAGGGTGAAAGTTTAGTGCTTAGCCCAGTCCAACACCTGTGGCATTATGGGTAGGAGAGAAAGAACAATATTCTGTTTCTCTAGAATAAAGAATCACCTCTGTACTTAAATACCAGCAGTTTTAACATGTAGCTTAGATATACTCTTTGAGCCTTATTCTAACTTTCATATCTTATTATCAGAGCAAAAGTGACAGGAAAAACTAAATTGATAGACAGCGGCACTAATTAACAGTTACACATTTACATATGCTTCTTCCTTAAGGTGTCCACACTTTAGTGTCGCCCATCTTGAGGCCAGATAGGTGGCATTTTAGATTATTCACTCATACTGAATGATCCACATCCGCAACCAAGACATTCCAACCTTCTCCAACAATGGGAAGTGCACAGGCGGCACCGTGCGAGCACGTGCATGTGTTTGGCTACTCTGATAACAAAACCTAACTGCAACTGGCATGAGCCTGTGAGAATCTTGATTCTACTTTATGTGGCTCTTCACATGCTTTGCTGTAGAAATAGTAACATATTTCATTTTGAGGAGCTGTTTTAGGCTCTAGCCTTAAGGATTTCAGACAAGGAGAGTGCAAACCTGTGTTGACTTTCTCTGAATTCTAGGAGATTCTTTTAGAAAGTTGTTATAAATGTTTGCAATTCAGGTTTTTAAAATACATTTTATTGAAAATAAAAATATCTATAGGTACTATATGAAAAGATAAATAATGGACACAAACCTTTATATCCAGTTGGCTCAAAATCTCCACTACCATCTTTGGTTTGATTTCTCTCTCTCTCTTTTCTTTTACACCCTTACTGTTCTAGGACGAATCCTCTATGTTCTTCCAGTTTGGCCCATCAATTGAACAGCAAGCTTCTGTAATGCTCAACATCATGGAAGAATACGACTGGTACATCTTTTCTATTGTCACCACCTACTTCCCTGGCTACCAGGACTTTGTAAACAAGATCCGCAGTACCATTGAGAACAGCTTCGTGGGCTGGGAGCTAGAGGAAGTCCTCCTACTGGACATGTCCCTGGATGATGGAGATTCTAAGATCCAGAACCAGCTCAAGAAACTTCAGAGCCCCATCATTCTTCTTTACTGTACCAAGGAAGAAGCTACCTACATCTTTGAAGTGGCTAACTCAGTAGGGCTGACTGGCTATGGCTACACATGGATTGTGCCTAGTCTGGTGGCAGGGGATACAGACACAGTGCCCTCAGAGTTCCCTACTGGGCTCATCTCTGTATCATATGATGAATGGGACTATGGCCTGCCCGCCAGAGTGAGAGACGGGATTGCCATCATCACCACCGCTGCTTCCGACATGCTGTCTGAGCACAGCTTCATCCCTGAACCCAAAAGCAGTTGTTACAACACCCACGAGAAGAGAATCTACCAGTCAAATATGCTCAATAGGTGAGTGTGGAGCAGGGAGCCTGTGGTGATGAAGACCAGGGGACACCTTCACAGAGCAGGGTTGGGGGTTTGGAGACTGTGAAGAGCCTTTCAGGATGCAGCTGGTGGAGGGGTGGCCTTGGGCATGGCAGTTGGTCACGATGTCGGGAGCATTGCATTTCCAAACCTTGCTGTCTTGTGCTCTTGTCTACACAGCTCCCGGTTATTGAGCACTTATTACTCTAAGAGCTTGGCATGATTGACTTCATTTACTCCTCAAAAACCTCTATTAGTTGGGTTTAAAATTTGTTTCAGCTTCGCAATATAAGAGAACAAGGCTGTAAATTGTCCACAGTCCTGCTTGGAGTTGCACCTGGGCCTCTCTGATTCCTAAGCACTTGATCACCAGGAGAAGTATACTAGGCTTAAGGATGAGAGGGTGCAGTCCTCTTTCCTCGGGAATATTGCTGCATTGGGAGGGAAGAACAGATTACATGGACCTGTTAGCCTATGAAGAATGTTTTTCCCTTAAAGGAACAGACTTTATTTTTTATCTCCTTTGCTTCTCTATTCTCCATCTTTAAGAGTAAGACTACTGCTCTTTGTCTGGTTTGGTTAGCAAAGCCTCATATAATCCAGCCAGGGTAGGAGCGCATCCTCCTAGATGCATTAATTGACTGTGTGAGGTAGAAAATCCTATACTGTGTTTTTATGGTTTTATTATTTGTAGAAAATGGCTGTGTAGGCACACTGTAAAAACTCAAACAAAACAGAACACAAAGAAGAAAATTAAAATGACCTTAAATCCAGCTAACCACAGATAATGATTATTGAAATTTTTAGTGAATATCTTTCTAGACATCTCGCTGTGTATATAGTATGTCCATTCTGATCTCAATCTAATATTTCACATAAATGAAAATACCTGCATTTCAATACCAGACTTTCTTTTACTCAACAATATGTTCTGGGCATTCATTTTAAGTTTATTTTGAATTATATCAGAGAGAGAAAAAACTATTCAGAAAAACAATGCATACTCAGGTACCCTACACCTAGCTTCTGGGATTCTGAGAATGTTAAAATACATTTGTTGGGGCTGGGGATTTAGCTCAGTGGGTCTGCCGCCTGCCTTGCAAGCGCAAGGACCCAAGTTTGATCCCCAGTACCAAAAGAAATAATAAAAAATTAAAAAATAAAATAAAATACATTTGTTGGAGGTTTCAGTGGGTACCTGTGTGTACTTTTTAGCTCTGGGAGGGAGCTGGACTGCAGTCTCTAGACCTAGCTCTTTTTTTTTTTCTAAGTTCTTTTATTGGTACATTTTAGGTATACAATTCATTTACATTTATCATTGGGTGCTTGCACCTGTACGTGATGTATCTTGGTTCTTATTTTTTCCCCATTACCTGTGCGCCCTTCACCCCCTCCTCCCTTCTCTATTTACACACACATCATTCACAGTTTTTTTCTTTTCTCATAGTTTTTCCTTTCCCTCCTTTCCTTTCCCCTTCCCCTCCCTTCACCCCTTTGTCTTCGGACCTTTTTTCCTATTTCAAATTATCAGTTATTCATTTTAATCCTTTTAACTCTTGTTTACACTATCAGTTTCTCACACTAGTGAAACTATTCAGTATTTACACATGTCTGTCCTATTTATTTCACTTAAGAGTATGGCCTCGATATGCATCCATTTAGCTATAAATAACTCTAGTTTTTCATTCTTTATGTCTGAGTAATACTCCATTTTATAAAAAAACCACATCTTCTTTATCCAGTCTCCAGTTGATGGGTACTTGGGCTGTTTCCAAGCTTTAGCTATTACAAACTGTGCCACTATAAACATGGGTGCACATGTATCACAGTGATATGATTCTTTTAATTCTTTTGGGAAGATACCCAGCAGGGGAATAGCTGGGTCAAATGGGACCTCTAGCCCTAGTTCTTTGAGGTATCTCCATACTGATTTCCACAGTGGTTACACCAGTCTCCACTCGCACCAACAATGCAGAAGGGTTCCTTTCTCCCCACAGCCCTGCCAGCATTTGTTATTGGTTGATTTCTTGGTAGCAGCCACTCTTTCTGGGGTGAGGTGGAATCTCAGTGTTGTTTTCATCTGCATCTCTTGAATGACCAGTGATGTTGAACATTTTTTCATATGTTTATTTGCTGCTTTTACTTGTTTGTCTGAGAAATGTCTGTTCATTTAAGATGCTCATTTTTGAATTGTCTAGACCCAGCTCTTAATGTAGGGTTGAAACTAAAACCAGCTTCAGTGTGGCTGTATCTGTGATCTGATCCCAATACTCTCCTGCCTTGAGCTTTCTGCTCTTCCACCATTCCCAGCTGTCACCCCTTGTTTGGTGCAGACTCTGGATTTTCCTTCTTCCTGTCCAGTAGCTCCATCTCAGGCTTCCTAGAACACTCCTCTTTTTTGCACATCCCTTAATTGTTGATGCTTCTCAGGGTTCTTGCCTAGACCCCCTTCTTCTCACATCCATTTTCAAGGGTATGATTAATGCCTATATATTGCTTAAGTTCATATCTCTGGCCAGACTCCCTTCTTGGGGCCTCACGTTTGTACTTTTCACCGTGACTAGGTATGCTTCCTTGGGTGCCACAGTCCCCTAGAACTTAGCATACCTAAAGCTGAACTGCTTATCCTTTCTTCTAAGACTTTTCCACCTTCTCCTGGCCAAATAGACACTGCCTGTAATGGATACATCCTATTTCCAGGTTGCCTGAAACAAAAATTCCCGAGATGTCCTGGATTCTGTATCCCTGGGACCTCATAGTCAGCTGTGCCGTTTTCTATGGACTTTAATCTCCCAATAGCAATGCTTTGGCTTGTTTTCATCTCTTCTGCCCTATCTACCTCAGTCCATCTCTTCCTACCTGCATTGCTGCAGGGCCTCTTAAATTACCTCCTGCCCTCAGCTCTGCTTCTTTCCAATCTACATTGCAGCCAGAGTGATCTAAAATGAAAATGTGATTTCATCATTTGCCTGCTTAATATCTTTCAGTGGCTTTTCATTGTTCCCATCATAAAGGCCAATCTCTTTAACATGGTTATTAAAGTCTTCCACATCATGGGCCCCGTCTGCCTTTCCAAAATTACCTGGTGCTAGTCTCTCATTTGAACATCATCTTCCTGCAGTACTGAACTGACTGTAGTATTTTGAAGATTCTATTCTCTCTCATTTCCAGCTCTTTCCTTTGTCTGTCTTGAATGTGTTCCCCAGCACACCCCTTCTCACCACTAGACACATGCCGGTGGTCCTTTACCTGGCTCATGTTGTTCCTCCTCAGGCTTCTGTCTTCGCATCACTTCTAATGAAGTCTTTGCTGAGCCTTGGACTAACAGTAGCCTGTTATATGCCTTCAATGCATCTTGTACTTTTCCAATAAAACCACTCCTCAAGCTATGATAATTTTGTGCTGTATTATCTCCCTTTCCTGCAAGTTCTGGGAGAGCAGTGGGCTTCCTGCCTTTCTCATTTCTCTGTCCTTATTCCCAGCACAGTGTGTAGCACAGAGAAGTGAATGAATGATATTCTCCGAGACTCAGTACACACCTGATCCACAGAAGGGACCCAAAGGGTCCCATTGAAAATTTACTGTTGCTTCAGTTCTGTAGATGCCTGCTTTCTTCCATTGCTGTTAGTGTTAAATTCAAATCTGATTTAGATTATTTCCTCAAGCATTGCTATTTAAAACCAAAGCTAACTATGAAGGAATGAATACTGGGACTAAAACACCTTCCAAACAACACAAATCAAAGGACTGTTACATTAAAGCCCTTGTATATGGTACAGGAATGCCTTTTTTTGTTTTATCTTAAAGCATCTTCTGGGTCAATAGCAATTGGAGGTATTATTATTATTATTATTATTATTATTATTTTGATCAGAGTGTCATGTTATCTCTGAAGCCTGGTTTCTAATCACATGCCTCTGAAACCGCCATAGGTTTTAACCTTTATTCCCATCTCTCTGAGGCCTGAGAGGCACTCAGTGGCAGTGGCCCATCAGCTAAGTACCTCTCTTCAGTGCTCTGAACCCTTTCCATAGAAATTACTGTCAAGAGGACCACACATGCCCAGCTCCGTCTACTCAAGTGTAGCCGCCCCAGAAGCAATAAGGACTGTGCATGGCAGAGTATCCATCCATCCTTAGGGACCAGTGTAGCTAGCCAGAGCAGGAGTCCAGCTATCCTTGATTTCTCCTCTGACTTCTCCACTAGACAAGAGATTTCTGTTGCAAATTCCTCTCCTGCTCAGTTCCCTGATTTCCTGGGGCATCTACCTGCCTTCGGGACACCTTCTTTTGAAGGTGTCCCCTCTCCCTGTGCTGTACCTGCATTCCTCACTCATCTCCATTGTAGCTTTCTTCTGCTTCTCCCCACTGCATCTTCCAATGGCTCTGAACTCCAATCCTTAGCTTCTCTTGGGGATTTCTAATATATTATTTTCTCAGGATACTGTTGGGCTTTGGGTTACTTATGGGGGTTCTGAAGAGGTACCCCAGGCTGGAGGTGTCATCAGTGGCACTCTACTCTGGGGACATTTGTGGAATTCAGTTAGACACTCTCCCAGCTCCTCCTGCTTATGATCCTCTGAAATCAGATTCTTTCTTCTTCAGAGCTCTGGTCACACCAGGGTCACTCTTTTAAATAACAAACCAAGCAACCACACCATTTAGCCACGGCAGGGAGTCTTTGCAAATAAAATTGCTGCAAATGGTTGGTTGTTCTATGAGGAAGACTTTTCCTTGGGATCTCTCAGCAACAGCAGAGGGAGGAAGGCTCCTAGGAGAAGCCGCCCAACCCCAGGAGGACAGTAGGGATACAGAGTCAGGAAAGAGGCTTCTCCTCTCATTATGAGGGGAGGTAGGATTCGCATTTGTATCTGACCAGATTGTGGATTTCTTTCCATACATGAGAAGTTCGTAAGTCTAGATTTTGGGGAAAAGAATAAGAGGTTATATGATATCCCTGAATCTCAAAGACACACATGTATTTGA